AAAGCTCTCGGCTCGGTCAAGGTTTGCCCAACATTTTATCTCACGCTGATTTGATCTTAATATATCACATTGTGTAGGCTGTCTGTGTTACCGCGTGCGGAAACTTCGCATTGGCAGGCTCATCAATAGGCGATGTCTATATGTGGAACCTTCAATCAGGTATACGACGCAAGACTTTCGACGTTGGACCATGCCCTGCAGAGGCCACCAGTCGACTGGGAACCGCCGGAAAGAAAGGGAACGAACGTACTATTACTGGGATCGTCACAGACGCACTGAACAGAACTGTCATTGTGACCACGTTGGATGGAACCATCAATGTGCGTATTTCTTGCCTTGACGAATGTAGGGCTAAATGTCATCGTAATCTTAGTTCTTTGATTTCCACACTGCCCAGTTGGAGCGCACCACCATTATTTCTTCACCTATTGTATCCATGTCGTTACATCGGGACAATGGGCTACTGGCGGTTATATGTGACGATATGATAGTCCGTATCCTCGATATTGAGACCAAGAAAGTCGTTCGAGAATTAGGAGGGTTTAGAGGACGGATACTTGATATTGTACGCCAGCTGGTCAACCCTTCTCTCAAATTAATACTCACAAACATTCTTAGACGTTTTCCCCGGATTCAAGATGGCTAATTGCCAGTTCCTTGGATTCTATCATCCGAACGTTTGATGTCCCAAGCGGTCGGCTGATCGATGCCTTCAGGACACCCAGTGTAGCCACTAGCGTTTCGTTCTCACCTACAAATGACTTCCTCGCAACATCACATGTCGATAGCGTCGGCATTTACCTCTGGTGAGCCTCTTCAAACAATTGAGCAGTTTCAGCAATCTGATCGACCATTGACAGGGCAAACCGTGCACAGTATGACACTGTCTCCTTCCAGAGTGTCAACGACGATGATTTGGCCGACACGGCACTTCCTTCAATGCAAGGAACTGCGGAGGACGAAGGTGAGTTAGGATAATCGATACTCGGATCGTTTTAACACTCCTCACTATTAGCACTTGACTCTCTATCAGCGCTATCTGCACAACAAGAAGCTACCGACGTTTTCATGACTCCTCCTCAATTAGACGGGGAGCTCATAACGCTGACACTACTTCCCCGCTCTCGATGGCAAACGCTGCTCAACCTAGAAGTGATACAGGTGCGCCTTTCTAGGCTGGATGGAACTTCCTTTTTGACCCTCTGCGTAGCATCGTAATAAACCAAAAGAGCCCCCAAAAGCCCCAGAAAAGGCACCGTTCTTTTTACCCACCCTTCCTGGTGTCGAGACGCGGTTTGCTGTCGAGACCGCTGAACAGGAAACAACTTCGAAAAAGTCAACGCGAAGATTGGAGAATGCTGCCGGCCACTCACAAAGCCAGTTCCACAGGCAGCTGAACTCCGAATCTCGTGAAGGGCATTGTAGGTCACGACATCCGCTTCGCAACGCTCTCTGACCTTTTCCAATAGACGAGACATTTTTCAACCTGATCAAATCCCTATCGCCGGCTGCTTTGGACTTGGAAATTCGCTCACTCGTCTCCCTTGATAGTTTGCAACTATTCACTCACTCCCTGAGGCAACGACTACTTTCGCATAAAGATTTTGAAGCTGTCCAAGCTCTCCAAAATGTTTTCCTCCGTATCCACGGGGATGTGCTAATTGAAAATTCCGAGCTCCAATCGGATATGATGAAGCTTCTGGAAGTACAACGGAAGGAGAGCGACAGAGTTCTGGAGTTGATTGCTTCGTCTCTGGGTACATTGGGATTCGTTAGGGACCGATCATGAGGTCTATTTCGGCTGTTGGGGATGTTAGCTGTAGATATACAACGCTTCTAGGAGAACATATACACTGCTGCATATCTGTTCGGCGGAAAAGTGAGCCATCCATACGTCGTGATGGCCCATGAAGGGTCACAGGATCTGTAGCTCGCAGTCGCACAGCGGTGCTTCTCTCTTTCGAAAGAGCCAAATATGTATATTAAACTGTCGAGCGACCTCTGACTTCACATCATAACTCTACAGACTTATGCCAGCTCAATGTAGCGTTCCACTGCATCAAATCGATCAGCAACTATAGGTCGGCCGTGTAAGACGATAAACTCACCCTCCCAATCGGTTACAGCCTCGTTCCACAACTTGACTTCATGTTCTCGCGTTCCCCCATAGTGCTCGACGAATACATCACCTAGCATTTCTGGCTCTCTGGCGATGCTTTCCGGCTTCATCATCCGGATCGTCGCAGCCTCCAGTGATATTGGAAGCATCTTCACCTAATAAAAACTGTCAAGTAGAGGCAGCGCCGATGCCGTACGGCGTACCTTCCCGTTCTTCTTGTCCTCGGGCGTGAAATGGCTGATAGGCGGTGTTGTGAGCTTAAGCTTCCTCTCGATGCCTCTCAGACCGAGGAGGAAGACTGCGCTCAGGGCGAAATATGGATTCATGTCCGCCCCGGGTATCCGGACTTCAAACCTTGTTGCCGAGGGAGGAACTGAAGGGGGCGAGAGGATACGGATGGACGCTGCACGGGAGTCATAGCCGTATGTAACGGCGTTCGGCGCCCAGAACGCTTCACCGCCTACTAGACGCTTATAGCCGTTGATAGTAGGGACCAACTGTATCGGAAGTGAGAAGATCAATTACAGTTTGAATGTCAATTACTTGCCAAAGGCATGACTGGCACGGGGTCTTTCAGTACACACGAAATAATTGATAGTTTATAGTAAACTGACTGTCAGCAACGCCGTCAAGAATACCGGCGAGGAAGTGCTCAGCTGCTTCGCTTATGTATTTGGTATCTTCAAAGGCAGCTCCTTCACGTCCTGTCGCCACATCGGATCTGGGAAGTGCGAATATGTTTTGATCCTGGTTGTTTCGTAGAGAGACATGAATGTGACTATCAGGGCTGTTAAACGGTGGGAGATGTGATAGATGCAGAGGATTCATACCCGCTACAGCCGGGAAGCTGTGTGTAACGTTAGAAATGGACTCCATGGATGTGTCAAGGTGACTGACATTATTCCAAGGCTTGGCCATGAAGCTTGGGATGACGCCTCGCTGCATACCAATACTTTTCGTTAGGTACTTGAATAGTATGGCGTTGTCAGCCATTCTGAGAGCAGTAGTGTAAGCCAAAGCGGTCTCCAGGACGCCAGGACCGGTTTCGGTGTCTATCAGATATATACTTTAGAAAGTCTGACGTGTTAATGACGAGGACCTACGATGTCCTTCAATGTCAACGCCAAATTGGGCGCCCAAATTAAAAATGTCGTGAAAGTAATCGTTGTTTAGTTGAGTACGTAGAAGAGAGTACCCGTGCACTTGATGTATATGAATGAGAGAATCGAAGTATTGGCAAAACAGCTTACATACTTCCTGGTGTCAACGGTTTCAAGTCGTGGTACTTCTTCTCCGATAATGACCCTGGCGTTTCTGTGGATGGTGCATAAGAACAATGCTGGTCTTTGTCGCACGACTAGCCTTTGAAGTTGAAGAACTGATAGAAATAAATATCAGTTCATATCCACCAATGGGGAAACGGCTAACCTCGTATTCTACACCAGCAAAGCATTCGAAGCCTAGTGATGCCGCCCGTTCAGTCGTGATCCTCAAAATACCCCTTGGGTCAACTACGAGTGGTTCTTTCGTATCGGGATCCAAGAAAGACACCAAGAAGAAGGGCACATTGTCTTCCCAGGGAATGCGACGGTAGGTGGAGAGATCGATACGTGCTAAGATGTCCCGATAGCCATTAGCCTTGTTCGATATTAGCAGCTCTCGTGAATAGACGGTGTCATGTATGTCCCAGCCACTATGGGTGCCGTTGAGCTTGCAAGATTCGAAAGACGTGTTGAACGTACAATATGACGCTGCAAAAGCCAAATCCGTCCGACGATGCCGCGCTGATGAATTTATCTTTGCTCTAAGTGACATTCAACGCGCGCCTCAAACAACATAGAATGGGACTCGCACCATAAACTTGCCACGAAGAACGCCGTCAACTATTAAACGCGTCAAAATGCACTAATGTTGCAACACGCAAGTTCCTACCGTCGATTCCTTGATAGCATTAAACCCAAAGCCAATCCATATTTCAAGCGGTACCCACCAGCAACCTTGACTTTGATATCATCCTTCAAAACGTTCTTGAGTTCCTCCAAGGTGTTAGGTGCACCAGCAGTCGCAGACATGATGGCCGGAAGTGAAAGGGAGTAAATGCGTTAGGGGCATGATCGTCTCTTATCAAGCTACTACTATGACGAACTTCCATGTGCACGACGACCCACGCCGCGGCGACAACGACCAAGCGCTCCGCTATATCGCTCATGCTCGGGCGCCTGCGAGACCAGGCTTATTCGATACGCCGACCATATCTATCTGCCTCAAGGCTTCGTTTCTAAGGATAGCTTGCGACGAGAGCTGGACAAAGCGTGGCTCGTAGCCAGGCTCACGCGATAAGGATGCGAGCCATTGACGGAATACTGGAATATCATGCTAGCGGTGCGGCAAGTCGGTGCGGCTTCGAAGCTATCGCGGGGATTTCCCGTCAGCAGAAAGAGGTCAACCTCGACTCCATGCTTGGGGATCGCATTCTGTGACTGCAAAAATTCGACATTACCCGTAAGTAAATGTTGAGGCACCTCACATCGAATCATCATTGCTAATACTATTTTCACAATATGCAGTCTGAGGTCTTCGTTGGATCCGAGGTCTTGTAATGCAGCGGTTATCACCTTGGATCGTTTGGAATCTTGGCAAAGGTAGGCCAGTTGTACTCGACATGGCGAGAACAGCATCGGAGAAGACTATACTACTACTGAGGATGCCCTGCCTCAGCGCTGCACGTTGTTCCGGCTATTCTACAGGTAAGTGGAGTTTACGTAGTTCCTCACTAATTTGATTCGCTTTGAGTAAAGATACCACAAGAAGCTGGCCTGCTTGTACTTTTCTGCTCTCTATTAGAGAGCGGACATTAACATTAGATTACAACATAAAATGTGGTCTTATAGTGTAGTGGTTATCACTCAGGATTTTGAGGATTCTTGCGGATTAGTGCAAGATTAATTTCCTGGAACCCAGGTTCGAACCCTGGTAAGACCTTTAACATTTGAACTTTTTGTTCTCTTTTTGCTTTTTTGGTGACGAGTGACGAGTGACGACCCCTTGGCCCTTGGGCTTCGTCCTGTAGGGTAGCATGACACCTCCAAGTAACCGTTTGTTACTGTCCCCTCCCCAGGAGGGGTACTATTGCCATTTAAGTTACCTTTACCTAACTCACATGACCAGCGTGCCATGATTGCAATTTGCAGATTTGTTTTTCAAGTTCTGTATCTTCGCGTTTTTGTGCACTTTTTGATGTTTCAGGAGCTTTATACACCTGGAATTATTGAATATCTTTGTACAAAGAATATACATTTAACTGTAATGAAATTAAATGAATACTTAGTAATAACTGGCAGTCATAAGTATGATTGCCAATTGGTAGTAGACTCGAACCAGGCTGCAAGGCCGTGTAGTTCCTATTGAGGGGATGAAGGACGGAATAACGACCAGGTAACTATTCAGGTGACAGGTAGGTTGGTATCGAGCCTAAATTGGTAGTTACCTCGATAAAAATCTAAAAAATTCCTCTAGCGAGGGGAGGTCGACTCACCGGTAATTAACCTAGGTTTCGTGCACTAACTTTTGGTCCTGGTTGGAATAGGTTTTGAATCCTTCTGAGGAGATACAAGTGCCTTTCGTTCTCGGCCTCGGGACGTGGTGAAACGCGACCAGGTGCCATACTAAGAGATCCTTGGTAAAGACGGTAAAGCCACAGGACAGAACAGAACTGCTCGTCATTGATGTCGTCAACGTGAAGGACAAGGTACGGTCCAAAGCAGTGGCATCCGAGAGGGCCGCGACGCCCTTAACGATGTGTCCATGAAACTCGGGTTGGGGACTGCAGCCATCTATGCATGTTACCGCCGCCCTCGGCCACTGAACATGTAAAAAAGTCAACGATCAAAGTTCTTCTGCAACGGGCCTACTCCAGTCCAAAGCCCGTAATATCGTCTGTCTATGCCAATACTCCCTGTGTTAACCTCGACTCGCATATACCTCCTCGTCGAATCTGGGATCTATATAGTAATCGGGTGGTACCTCATTGGTGGCTTATACAAGACAGACTACCGTAGGCCGTATCCCAAGCATGGCTGGATGGTGTGCAGACACCCGTTAATGACGAATGGCCTGTGCCAATTCCGAAAGATGCGCATCGAGCTGCTTAATCTAGGAGCAGAGCACGTGTGGTTAGTTTGAGACAGAGTGACGATCGGTCAAAGGAGGATAAGCGCATAGAGGAGTGGAAGTTGGATGTGCCAACTATCAGATGGGTGTATTCGGGCTCCGAGCAGACTGTGGTGTGTTACTTCAGCGGTCTGGGACGGCCCCTGGATTTCAACAAGGCCTGCAACTTGGGTAGTGATCGATGTTGGTTCAGACGTGCTTGGACGCTGCAGGAGACCACTCGACATTACATCATAGGTGGGATACCGGACAATGACTCCGGGGATGTGGAGGATATCAAGCAAATGCTTCACAAACAAATGACATCCCTGGAGAACATCAGGCATGCCCATAAAACGGTTTTTGATGTGTTGGTGCACATGCAGAGTCGGGTGTCGACCAATCCTGCGGACAAAGTTTGGGTTGGCATACCTATTGCGCTCGAAGAGCTTACCAGCATACAACAGGACTCAGCCGGTTGAGGATGCTTGGACTACATTGGTGGACTCAATGCTTGATGGATATCGTGGGGATCTATTCTTTCTGTATCCTAAGCCTGGGGACGGAAAAAGCCTATGGAGACCGTCGTGGAATCAGGTCATGAATGACATACTTCCATCAACCGACAGGGATCGGTTCTATGAGGATGTTGAGTGGGATGAGGAGAAGGAGGCCTATCGGTGCTCCCAGCCTGTACGCTGCATCGAAAGAGGAGATATACGAGGGCTGGCCGTGGGAGATCCACAAGAGCGGCTGCGATCAGGAGAGTTGGAAGCCAAAGACGTGGATATGACACCTCATATATTCAAAATAGCGGTCTCTCACCAACACCCGATACCTGATGGTTCATACACCTTACTTGGCCCCAAAAGATTTCAGATGTATTGGGTAGTCGGAAGGAGGTTGCCGGACGATAGGTTTGAGGAGATTTCAGTGGTTACAGCTAATAAAAGAGAGACAGCGGCTCAAAAGATTTGGCGGTGCTAGGGAATTAGTTCAGTATCTTGCCTGAGCGACTACGGATATGTATTGTTTGTCTCTACCTTAATTTTTGTGGAAGTCGTTGAGGGCACAACAACGTGTTCGTTGACTGATAGGTCAGAATCATTGAAGCAGTCGGCAATAACTGCTTTGAAAGGATCGTCGACGAGCGTGTCAGTGACAAAGGACAAGGTGTTTGCTGTAGTTGAAGTTTCCCGTGTTAGATTCATGGGAACAGGTTTCCATGGCCTGAGGAATTCTTGAGAAAGTAGCATTGATGCATAGAAAGCAACCTACCTCTCCGAGAAGTTAGCGCTTTGACGCATTGTCTAAGGATTCAACTCTCGACGGCATTGATTACTTGACCATTCTGATTGCGTTTATGCAGAACGGTTCCAAGGTCGGCGTGGATCAGTGTGCTCTGGTAATCTTTCTAAGGGGAGTCTGAGCCAGCGGAAGAATTTTGGGAGAGACGAACGTACGGAAAGCTTTGTTTGACGTTTTCTGATGTTGTCAGGGAGGTCGTTCCAGGATACTGCAACGAATGCAATACGGAGTGACTCGTCTGAGGAATAGGTAAGAAACGGAGAAAAGAGATACCAGGGTATGTACCTTTGATCCCTTCCGACCTTGCGATCATCTGTAGCCTATCCATGTAAGCGCTTCCACTGGGTGCTTTTTTGTCTCTTTAAACAACCTGCTTCAATGGCGCCGCCTGGACGGTCGCCACTCATAGGCTATAGTGAGGAGAGCGGTGGTGAATACAAATTGTTTGCGCATGCCGTTGGTATAAGATTAAAGCTGACCTCGCCAAGTGATGTTGGTGTGGTTGGCGATATCGATATTGGACATGATATCCTTGTCGCGGCAGGCGGTGGTGACAGGAGCAATGGCTTTGAGCTGTTCCGACTTGAGAAAGGCAGAGACTTGAAGTCTGATTTCGCTGAGGATGTGCGTGTAATGGCATAGCGTATGAAGACGGCGTACAAGCTGCGCACGTACCGGTCGATGGTGACCTTTTTGCGATACTCACCGATGTATCCTTGGAACGATATGGCCATTCATACCATCCAGGTGATCCAGACGGCTAGCAAAAGATGAGCATATGCGCCAGAATAACTAGATGACAAAGCTGTGCCGGGGACGGATGCGCCGCATACAATCTCCTCAGGAATGACCAAGCCTTCCATTACCTGGCAGCGCCCACATGCAGAGCGCGCTTATGGTCCCTGCTGGTAGCAGAGTTGATCTGGGAATAAAATCTGATGTCGACGACATATCGCTGGTAGGCCTAGTTGCCGGCGGGCAATGAGGTGACGTTTGCGGAGCTCCTCTGGGGAGATGCGGTCCTCGCTTAGGGGGGTTAAGGGGGGGCGGGTGCGGCGGAGGGACAGAGGGAATATGGGGAGCGGGAGGCCCGATTTGACGCGTTTATATGCGGCGGAGAGTGCCATAACGCGTGAATATGACACATTGCGCGTCACCGTCGCCAGAGAAGGCGGTAATGGTCAGAGGAAGAGCAGCCATATGATGACTAAGCAAAATCGGGAATATTGACTGGATGGCTTGAAATGGGAAGCTCTCGTCAATGACGCGGTCACCATCATTCTTGGGGGTTCGTCCAGTTCGCGGGCCGAAACCTAGAGTTCCGTGCGCAACCCTAGATATAATGTAATGAGCTCACGGAGCCATACGCAAGCGGAAACAAGCGTCAAGATAGTGAGTGGTATTGCTCAGTTTGCGATACGAGTGCCGATCGTTTGGGCACCGACAATGGAGAGGTAAATGGGAACATTGGCCGGGCATCTCGACATGCTGAAATACTTATCGTTTGGACGACGGTATCAAATAGTGGACCATTTAGATCGCGTTTGTGCAAGCAGTTCCATTGCCGGCACGGACCAGTGCGCTTAGTAGGTTTTCTGAAGGAATGTGAGGTAACGCACGAAAAACATGCTTGCATTCTCTTCTCTGAAGTCGTCAGGGATGTTTAAAAATCTCGCGACAAATGTAAGAAGGGGTGACCTCGTCTGAAGAACGTGATGAACGTGATGATTAAGATAGAGAAGAGAAATGTTGCAACGTGTGTACCTTTGATCATTTCCATCCTTGCATTGACATGAGGGTGCGGCGAATCTGAAGGATCGAGAAAGCCAGCCTATATGAAACTTAAGTGGTTAGTTTGTCACGTTGAACGACCAATGACACCTCCCGGACGGAAGGTCCGGGGAACCACGGGTCCCCAAAACGGCGCCGGAATTCATAGAGGACAAGAAAGAATGGTGGGAGGACGAAGACGAGGAATCAGAGGATGAGGGTGGATGACACGCAGGAGGACGCATCCCCTCAGTAAATCGCGGCGCCAAATCACGATGACGCTCACGAAAATACAGGGCCACAGTCACCTGCAGAACTCAAAGCACCTGCCCAAGCCAGGGCAAATAATCACCTCGCAAGCCCGTTGCTGCACTCCATACACATCGTAACCAACCCCGAGTTTGGAAAACAGTGTAACGGAGGGGCCAGATACAAGAGGAGGGAGGTAGCCTGTGTCGGCCCCACGACCGCGTCTCAGTAGATAGTGTACTTGTTGCGGTTAATTAAATGCAGAGTCCAAAAAAAACCTCCCGGATGATCACAATCCATGGTGAGAAGAGTCGCATACAAAATGTATGCGCATGGACTTGGTGTAAAATCGGAGCGGGTTGCGCCAAGTGACGTACTGTGTTGGCGATGATACCGACATCGATGTTCTGGGCGATGCACTTTGCGCGTGGGGTGACGGCTACGAGGTGTTCCAGCCTGAGAAAGGAAGAGACTTGCAGTGTGGTTCCAGGTTCTGTTTAGAGACG